CCTGCATGGCATCTTATGTTAGACCTTGCCAGCTCTGGGATGCCTCTCTTGATCTTCCCAGGACAGCAATGATCCCAGGGCGTTGCAATGACTAGTGGAAGCTCCCAGCTCACTGTGGCCAGTCTAGTGTGGCTGGAGCAGAATGAGCTGACAAAAAACCAGGCCAGAAAGACCAGACCATGAAGGACCTTTGGACCCCATTCAAGAGTCTGGACTTTATCCTGAGGAAAACAAGGAGGCATTGAAGCGTCTGCTGAGGGGAGTGGCAGGATCAGATTGGGAATGATCTTCTGGCTGCCATCGGAGGAGCTGTCAGCGACGGACAGGGCGGGGTAAGACAGGGCTGGGCAGGCAGTCCAAGGGCCTGAGTCTGGGCAGGGTGGCAGGGACACCAACCTACCTGGCAATGCACTGGCTGGCTGTCCAGAGGACTTCCTGTCTGGTCTCTCAGCTTCTCCACACTGTCTCTTTAGAGTCCCCGAGAAGAGGCAGATTTTCAGCCAAACCCTAACTCAGTCAAACTCGCTCCCGCGGTGGGTGATGGTACAGACAGACTGCTCTATGGGAAATCCTGGGTCTGGTCAGAGAGCCTGTGAGAATTTCCCATGGCACACGAGCAAAGCCACGGGATCAGAACTATTAGGGGAAGGGGCGGGCAGGCTGACAGGGAAAGAGTTAGAGTACTTGACTTTGGGCCCTGCATTTTCTGGAATAGTACTCTTTTTAGACTCTGTATATATAGTAGACCCAGGATTTGTTTCTAAAGGGTATTTTCCACACAGAATGTCAAACCAAATAGGCCCCAAACAAAAACCTAACTGACTGCCATTGAGTGGATTCTGACTCATAGAGACCTCGTAGGACAGAGTAGAACTGCCCCTGTGGGTTTCTAAGACTGTAACTCTTTACAGGAGGAGGAGGAGAGAGTCTCATCTCTCTCCTGAGGAGCAACTAGTGGCTTCGAACTGCTGACATTGTGGTTAGCACCCCAACATGGAACCCACTTTGTCACCAGAGCTCTGCCTGAGTTGGCAATACTTCCCAACAGGGGAGGGCTTAGTCATAAGGGTACAGCCTTTGGGTTCTGACAGATCTGGGTTTTAGTCCTTAATGTCTGCTCCTTTCTTGCTACGTGACTTTAAAGAACGCAGGTTAGTCTTTTCTAAGTGATAGTCACTCATCTGGGACAGCGGAGAGCCTACCCACCTGACTCGGGTTTGTGTAGATTAAGTCAGGAAGTCACAGTAAGGCGGCTCCTACCACAGATCTTCCTCAGAGGAGTGTCACTCTTAAGGCTGGGTAACTGGCTGTTCACGCATTCAACAGGAACATGGAGGGCTTAGGGACCCAGCGGAGCTGGGAAGCGAGGCACAGTTTCCCAAGAAGCTGAATCAAACCACTAGGTCTTTTTCTCTTCATACGCCTGGCACATGTGAGCCCATCAGACATGTTTGCTGAATCCAAGATTGCTTTTCCATGACTAGTCCCATCTATCTTCTTTTGCTATTATTTATTCTTTTATCTGCTATGAATACTTGGAGCATCTATTATTTATTTTACCCCTAAACCAAAAAGTAACCAACCTCATTGCCATCGAGTCAATTCTGACGCATAGCAACTGTAGGAGAGGGTAGAAGTACCCCTTTGAGTTTCTGAAATGCCAACTCTTTAATGTAGTAGTGAGCCTCATCTTTCTCCCGAGGCGTGGCTGTTGGGTTCGAACTGGCTGACCAAGCATGTAATAACTACACCGCCAACACCACCACCACCAAGGACTCCAGTGACCCTCCTACCACCCTCCCCTGGGTGGATGGAACCAGTGAACATAATGAGTCATCACTCATGATGATGTTACATGACTGGGAGGGAGGATTTTTACAGGGGTGGTCAAGACCTTACAGCGGTCCACTTTGAGTTCGTAAAAACGGAGCTGATCCCAGGTGGGCTGGACCTAATCCGGAGTCTTTCTGCTGGCTAGCCTTGGAGGAAGAAGCGGACACCTATGGTGGGAACCACTTCTGAAGAGGGGCAGCTTTTAGAAAGAAAATAGGGAGCATGGTCCTCTCGCTGCCAACAAGTCGATGCCGACTCCCAACTCACAGCCCTAGATGAGAGGGTAGCAGTGCCCCGTGGGTTTCCCAGGCGGCCACTCTTTAGGCGGCCACAAAGGAACGCTGCACTTGTCTGAATGGCAGGACTTTGCGTCTTACAGACTTTGGACATGTTGTCGGGCGAGGCCAGTCCCTGGAGAAGGACAACATGCTCGGTAAAGTGGGGTTGGCAGTGGAGGAGAGGAAGACCCTCAACGAGATGGTTTGACACTGAGGCTGCAAGAATGGGCTCTGGCATGGGGACCATTGTAAGGCTGGCGCAGGACCGCTGGCACAAACAGGACAGTGAGAAAAGACGTGACGAGGACCCAGAACCTTGCTCATCTTCAGATGTGGGGTCTACTCTCTTTCCCAAAGATCAGGAAGCATTGTTTCCTGTCCCAGCTCTTTGAAGAAGTGGGCACAGGAGCCCTTTGAAGAGCCAAGCACAGTCTCCCCCAAGTGGAAACTTCTCTGAAACAGCAACATCCCAACGTGATGGAGCCAAGCTCATTCCCGTTAAAGATCCAACGTAGGACTTCAACCCTGTTACTACATTGCACTCATTCACTCATCTCACACCTACTGGTTGAGTCCGACGTAGGAGTCAGACACTGTTCAGAGCAGTGGGGAGACAGTGGTGGATCAGAGACATGACTTCTAACCTACCTGTAAATGGAGGGAGAGACAAGAAAAAACAAGTTAATAAACAAATACCTCGAAGGATGAATAACAGAGTGGTGCTGAGAGAGTAAATCATAGAGAAGTTGAGATAGTGACATTTGGGGTAAAGCCTAAAGACCAAGCTTCTGAGGGTGGGAGGGATCAAAGACCCTGAGGCAGAAAAGCCTGCCTGTTTGTGTGTGTGTGTTTTCCCACTCGGATCTTCTCAGTATGCTAGAAGCCCAAGCCAGCATAGATTCAAGGCAGCATAATATCCAAACCACATTGCGTCTAATC